AGGTGTAGGAGTTTTGGATGTACACTGCTGATGAGTCCCAAACCGGGACGAAACGGCCGTCCAGTGCTTCCAGGTTTCTAATGTTGGTCTAACAATAACTGATTGAGGACTTTAGTAATAATCACTGACTGTTGACTAATATCGTGCTTATTTAATACTTCAGTGTCGATAAATGTTCCTATTGACTGAACTATACGTTACAATGTATTAGTCCGTTTTTAAGTAGTCCGCAGGAAACCCTGGTCATTGATTTCGGGTATGTATGTGATCTTGTTGGGAGTGCTATCCAATCTTATTGTTGATTCCCCTACACTTAGTGGTCACATAACAACTTAACAGGTTGAATTTGGTTAGCACTATAGACTAGCCAAATATCACATTGCTTTCTAATTAGTCATCGGTCAGTCTTATTTTCACAGTTTTGAAAGAATTCAACGGTGATCTAAAGAGATCCATCGTGATGTCCCAAACTATCCAGCTAGGTGATATGGGTTTACATTTCATGAGAAACTTGAGTACTATGAAAGTTTTAAGTACATTATCGTGATGAATACTGCCTAACATGAAACTTAAGTCAAACAGTATTTCCTCATGAAATTCAGGACACTCATTTTTTCCTAGTTAGAACTCGTTAGCTTACTTGTACTTATCATCCCTAACGAAGCATAGACCACTGACCGGAATTCTCTAACCAATTATGACATGGACCTTCCCTTCCAGTTCTGCCCAATGTAATGTATTCATTGGCCTTCTTCTTTTCTTTTGATCTTGCGGATTCCATGTGAGGCCTTACTTCCTGATGAAGTTGGCGGATTTTCTTGATATGAGTCCTATCCACCTCCAGTTCTTTTTCTTAATTTCTCCCTCAGCTGGATTTGCCTATATCCAAGTGTAGATATTCACTGGAACTTGAATGGGAAGCTACTAGATTCTAGTTTCAGTGTAAACATGAAAACTGGAGAACAGGTTGATCTTGCTGTGACGAGCTCTTTCTAGATTCTACTATTTAAATCTAATAAAAGCACTGGTTTCTTATTTTGTCTAAAATCGGTACTACTCAGAAATGTGTAAACTGATAATTCAAAAGGTAGCCGTTCCCATGACTAAAAAAACCATTCGGTTTGAAGCTATTTTTCGCTGTTCAAATGATTTCAGAGTAATCTTTTTAGGTTGTCATAATGAAATCTGTGAAATCACAGAAAAGTGTCAAGTGAACTAAAAACTACTCGCTGTAGTCAATGCACATTAACTCAGTGATTTTTGGCAAAAAATTATTTTTAGACTATTTTAAATGTAAACCGTTTTAAAAATTATCTTTGAATAATTATATACTACTAACTGAGTATTGTAACACAAATCACAGAATTTTGTAAATAATACAACTTCTTGTTAATGATTTATTATGGTCATTATGTTCCATAATGTATTGTAAAATCTTGTTAATGGTCGGTATATTAGTTGACTTCAAGTTTTGATCAGGAAATTCGAAACTGAAGAGTTTTGTGACTCAGTCATTATAAACACATACTCACATACGCCTTCCAACCCCCATGAAGCATAGACCGTCGATCATTATTCTGTCCTAGGGCTTCCCTTCCAAGTTCTGTCCAATTTTTGTTCATTCTTCTTATGTCTGTCTCCATTTCTCGGTGTAATGTGTTCCTCGGCCTTCCTCTTCTCCTTTCATCTTGAGGACTCGAGGTGAGGGCTTGTCTCGTGATGCAGTTAGGTGCTTTCCGCAATGTGTGTCCAAACCATCTTCAGCGCTTTTCCTCCACTGAAATCTGATTTGCTGTCTCTTACAGTAGGTTGTTGCTGATGGTTTAAGGCCAACGGATGCGTATTATCTTACGTAGACAACTATTCATAAACATTTGTATCTTGTGGACGGTGGCTTTCGTGGTTCTCTAACATACACGGTAGTTATATTCTGTAGTTTAGTGAGATGATGGAGAAAAGTTGTAGCTCAGTTGGGTGATTCTAGTGGGATTTCGTCCCAAGATTAGAGAACGAACTTCATCATATAAGCATTAAACTGTTTTATACAGAAATAAATCATGTCCGAACTCCCTAACAGTTACTTTTTTGCTGTATCATTCTCGAAGTCTCTCTAACTTACACACATCAAGTTACATTATTGTGCATCTCTAGTTTGTACTCGTTAGAAGCATGATATCATGAAAATGGAAGCTTGTCAGTGGAGCATAGATGGAATTAAAGCATGACTACGTTTCTATGCGCTGATTGGCTAATTTCTTATCCAATCAGCGCCTGATCGAGTCTTGGAGAACAAGGTAGAAAATTCTCGTATTGTTAGCTGCATGCTGATTGGCTAAATATCTAATCCATTCGATCAAATGAATTGCTATCCAGAAGCTTCTCATGTCACCTTTGGCTTCTTATTTCCATTTAACCTTGCTATTTGGAATATAATCTCTATTCCTGTTCCACCGTGTTTTTTGATTCTTTGAAACTTGTCCAGTGTATTGTGTAGTCAGAGAATACTACTAAGCACAATAGGAATTAACTGGGAATAATTATTCTAAGCAAGCGTTAAAACAAAACTGAATCACACTAATCACAATAATATATCTACATAACATATGTTAGCTACATATCTATCAGAAATGTATATAAATTTTTACTGTCAAAATAACTGACATATGATCAGAATAAAATAAAACTCAGTAAGATTGTTGCTTTAAAAATGTACAGTCATAAAAATGACAGTAAACATGTTGACAACAAAATAGATAGCTACATGAAATCTATGTACTTACTACTTACTTACTTACTTACACTTTGATCGGATATTTTTTGTGTAAGTTATAGTGGCAGACAAAAAAAGAAACTGGATTGAAATTGATTCCAGGCTAATCAGAAATAATGATTTATCTATGTAGTATGTATCAAGTGTTTACCCTAGATACCACCACATTTTAAACAACAAAAGTTGATAGTACATAAAAATTAGACTATGCAATTGTATGTATCATTTGTATGCTAAGAAAAAAAAATGCTACTTCTCTTCTGACAACATGTAAATTAAATGTATGACTCAGATAAAAAAAAATAGGTATACACTAGTTTGTACTACGGGTTTGTGAAGATTGATCGATTTATGGTTTCGAAAATCTGTAACTTAACAATCATCACAAACCCGTAATGCAAATTACCTGTGCTCACTATTGACGACGACTAGCTTGGTGAGAGATCTTCTCCTAGTTCTAGTGAGAAGACGTGATCAGTGAAGTTCAACCTGTTCGGGTGTAGTTAGTAACTACTGAAGACTGTGCACGAGGTTGTGCAACTCCGTGAATTGATAAAGTTAGACAATAACACCGTTAGATACCGCCAACTCAGTGGTCCGATTGTTAGCCGTTCGCCTACAATACTGAAGGTCCTGAGTTCGAATCCTGTGGGATGCAGGAGTCGTGGATGCGCACTGCTGAGGAGTCCCATACCAGGAGGAAACGGCCGTCTTTCAGTGCTTCCAGGTTTCTAATGGCGGTCTAACATTGATCGATTCATGGTTTCAAAAAAAGACACTAGTTTAATTGATTTCGAACTTTGTCAGTTGAATGATTTCTGAAATTTTCGACAGAATATATTACAAGTTTCAGACTCTGTAATAAACTTCACTGGAAAATCATATTTATGCGTATGTGAGTACTAAGCTTAATTGTGTATGGAGACCTTCCTAAGCCTAGATAAATAAGGAGGGTTTGGGCAGGTGGTGGTTAACGACCCGAATCCCGTAGAAATCCAATTCGTTATAAAAAAAAGAATAGGTTAACCAGAAAAATAAGTAATTCACTGGTCGGCGGTCTATGCTCCAACATTAGGGATAACAAGAGTAAGTAAGTCAGTAAGTAAGAGTGGAGATGTGAGGGCGCCGATCGGTAAAGTAAGGACTGCATTTCTACAATTGAACAACATCTGGAACTCAAAACTACTGTCAACCAACACCAAAATCAGAATTTTCAACACAAATTTCAAGGCAGTTCTACTGGATGGAGCGGAAACTTGAGAACTACCGAAGCTATCAACCAGAAGATATGTAGTGTGCCTATTAACTGCGTGTTCTTATAGCTCGGTTTATAAATCAGAAGATGAACTCCAAGTATCGTATACGTTTATTCGAGGCACACCACATAGAGAATTGAAGAAGCGAATAGGAGAAGGCTAGCGAGCCAACTCAAAGAGATAGAGTATGACTAAGAATATATAGTCCGATAAAAATAAGACAGACATATGACAAGCGAAATAGGTATGCACACACATGAATAAAAGCGACGAACGATTGACAAGGTCAAAAGCAAGCGATACAAATCATGTGAGTTCATGGGAATATTACGAGATTAACATTAAAGCGAAAAGGATGAGTAAGTGCGTAAGCGTAAGCAATGCTCAGTCGTATAAGCTCATACAAAGCAGATAATAAAAAATACCAATGGTACATATGAGTTGTTGCTATGCCACTAGCTTGGTTACATAAATTAATCGAAAGGGCTTAAGCAAATTAAATGTAAGCGGATGCAAATAAATGTGGAGGCACTACAGATACAAGTGTTGATCAACAGTGGACTGCGCTAAATCCTTTAGATTCGCTTGCTGGACACTGTCAACAACAACCTACTGTGGGATAGAACAAACTAGATTCCAGTGGAGGAGGAAATCAGAAAGAAGCGGTGGAAGTGGATAAGACACATATTGATGAAAGCAACCAACTGCGTCACAAGACAAGCCGTCACTTGGAACCCTCAAGGTCAAAGGAAAAGAGTAAGACCATGGAACACGCTACGCCGAGAAATAGGGAAAGACATGAGAAGAATGAACAAAAATTGGACAAAACTAGGAAAGGAAGCTCAGGACAGAGTAAGTCGGTGGCCTATGCTCTACCATTAGGGATAAACAGGAGTAAGTAAGTAAGTAAGTAAGTAAGAGTACCAAGAGCTCCCTACTACATTATAATACACAATACATAAAAAATTACTTACCAGAAATATCAATCACAAGACGATGTATCAATGGATTGCTTGGATCCACTTGTCTTGGTCTAATATTCAAACCATATCGTAATTTTAATGGTTCCCATTGAGTTAGTCCATTTTTCATGGATGGTTGATCTGTCGCCGCAAAATCAATACGCATATTTGGTGGTCCATTAGCTATAGTTGTACAAGTTAATTTAATAGCATCTTCTAAACTTCGTTCAGCTGATAATAATTCTGTATGTATTATACGTGGTACAAGAATAATTTCAGTTTGTAAACTATGAGATGTGAATGGATAGGGGAGAGAAAAAAAAAGAGTGAGTTAAATATTTTAGTCGCTAATATCTTCATATTCATGGTATGAATATCGTATTATAGTATAAACCTGTTCGGGTGTAGACAGTGACTACCGAAGACTGTGGTGTATGAGGTTGCGCAACTCCGTGTATTTGATCATGTTAGGCATTAACACTGTTAGATACCGGCTCAGTGGTCTAACGGTCAGGGCGTTCGCGCACAATACCGAAGGTCCTGGGTTCGAATCCTGCGAGCAGTAGGAGTCGTGGATGCGCACTGCTGATGAGTCCCGTAGCAGGACGAAACGGCCGTCCATTGCTTCCAGGTTTCTAATGGTGATGGTCTAACATTGATCGATTCATGGTTTCAAAAATGTGTAAATCGTATTCGTCATAGATTGGTCTTAGTTGAGTAATGATTGAGAATAAAGGTAGCATTGAACAAGTCTCTCACTTCAATATGAGATTATATAGTAGTGAGCACCTAAGACTCCATCTACAAGTAAAATCCATCTTCGGAAAACTCCTTAAAATAAATCATAATCCTCAGCTCACCGATAACTTAATTCAAGGTTTTATTCAGAGAGAAATGGTAATTCTGTACAGCTTAGACATATGGTTGTGCTTTATGACAAAATGACTCAAATTTGAAAATGTGTACTAATAATGGCTGACTCTGAATTTCTTAGGAATATACACTTATACCCTGAAACCAAAGGTACTGAGTTTATTCCTTTAGTGGGTTATAGCTATGAAACATTGAGGAATCCTATAGTAAGCTGAGATAGTTATCCAGTGTGCCCTGTTTCTCAATAGTATTCCAAATGAGATCAATATGTCAGGAAAACAAATTAAAAAATGATGCAAACCTTACAAAACCTCATCAAATTAATATCATAGTTGTTGATTAAAGAAAAATAGATGAGTTAAAAATTAAATAAAAGGAAATTGAACTATTGTTTTACTGTAGTTTGATTTTAACTTAATCCACCTTGCTTGCGTTGAACCAAACTTCACGTCATATAGAAAGTATATTATCTTCGGATTATGTCTACTTTTTAAGTAATATTGTGGTGCGAGCTACTTATAAGTAATATATGACGTGAGTGTCAACGTAATGTCTGGTGACAGCAGAAGATGGGGGAAGATCAAGAAAGGAAGAAGAGTGGGAATACAATGGAATTTGTATGAAACGCATGAATAGTGACAATCGATTGTTGATGTTTTGCAACAGGAACAGTCCAGTTCGATATGATGAACTGATATTTTGCAAATGAACGATTTACGATATGGTTTTCCAATTTTACTGAGTAACTCTGTAATTTTCGTTTAATACAATGCGGTTGCCCTCACCTGTGTTCTCTTTCACTACAATATCAGTTTAGTGACGAAATCTTATCTCCACAAATCACTGAATAAAGTAAAAAATAAATTTTGAACATTTAACATTGATCTAAATTCAATTTCTATCTTGGTTTCAATAGCAAATCAGTCGCCACCAAGGTTTGAACCTAAGTCCTTTAGCCAGTTAGCATTAAGTTGTAGCTATTATCTGTAAGAAATTTTTTCTCTTTGAAGGATTTAAAACCTAGTCGATCAGATTTACAGACAGAAACGTTTTCATTGAGCTATTTGAACAGTGACTGAACGTTTTCTTAAAAGAACGCGTAATTCAACAATTTTTCAATACATTGGATTCTTTGTGAGTTATAACCTTAACAAAATGTTAGGTCAAAATGAAGGATTACCGATTGTTCGATGAAATTCATTTCTACCATAGATTAATTATTTATGATTTGATAAGTTACGCTGTCTTGGTTAACAGTTATGGGTCACTTAATTTTCAAATGTGTAAAAACACAAATCTGCAAAGCTCTAACTGAAAATATCGTAAAATGTGCTCACTAGTGACTAGCTCCGTGAGAAAATTCTAGGAGTTTTATTAAGAAGAAGTGACCAATGGAGTTCAACCATGTCGGGTGTAGGCACTAACTACCGAAGGCCAATAGGTGAGGTAGCGCAAAATCCCTAGATCAATCAGAGTTAGACATTAAGACCGCTGAAAGCCTGCCCAGTCGTGCAGAGGATAGGCGTCCGAGCGTAAGACCGAAGGTCCTGGGTTCAAATCCTGCTAGCAGTAGGAGTCGTGGATGTGCACAGCTGATGTGTCCCATACCAGGACGAAACGGCCGTCTTCCAGAGTCTACCAGACTTCTAATGATAGTCTAACAATGACTGATCAATGATTTTAAATGTGTAACTTTATTTTGTTTTACAACCATTTTGTTAGATTCTCAGCTATTGTAATTTTTAAAAATTCATAATCACTACTTTTTTGATGTCTATGCACGCCTGCACGTAAACACGTCATTTGGATATGCTTGAACTATTACGAGTTTACCTAGTCGGAATACGAGAGCGAGGATCGAGGATCCGGTGACACGTCAGGCTACTATAATCCGATTATCCCAATCCCCACAATGAGCAAAGATAAGAAGACTTGATATGAAGTAGAACCTGTACTCCACTGGCATCCAGAAGTACGAGGTCTGAGTCCAGAAGAGAACCAGGATCGCGGACTAGGGGTCCGGTTCCGGGTCATAAAACGTTACAGACAACGCATATTTATACATTTTGGTCGAATAGGAAACACTATCGAAGTCTGTGACATTGACAGTTAAGACGATCAATAGGAAGCAACATTTGAAGTGACATTGATAGTCAGGACAAGCAATAAGAAACAACATTGGAGAACGTGACACTGATATCTAGGATGACCATAAAATTGACCAGTAGAAATTAACCAATAGGAAATGACCAATAATTTTCTTAGGATATTGGATGAATATCCTAACAAGATCTATGAGTAAATGAATAAATATGGTAGGGTGTGGTGGAGTCATTAGCATGCTGTAAATAATTCTCATTGAAATCATAAATCAATCCTTGTTAGACCACCATTAGAAACCTGCAAGCATGGGTTTTCCGTTTCGTCCTAGTATGAAACTCATCAGCACTGATCATCTATGACGTCTGTACGCGGGAATCGAATCCAGGACCTACAGTTTCTCGCATGAATGCTTAAGCTCTAGACCACTGAGAACCACTTGAATCGATCTATGGTACTGAGCAACCTCATCTATTTTCTGTTGTCAGTAACTGTCTCACATCTGGACACGGGTTTTCGGGTGTAACCTGATCAGTGTTTCTTTTTCTAAACAATCATATAATGATCCGAAATCTTCTGTTCTACAAATGAATAGAATGTAATTTTTAGAATTACAGCTATTCAATAAGAAGAAACTGCTGTATTTGTAAATAACATCATTGATCGCTGATTTCAAGTTCTATTCTCTTTGGAGTTTTTTGCCTATAATCTCTGATATTTTCACATAAAATGGACTCAGTTGAAAAGAATAAAGTTTATTTCATTAAGTTTAAAACAAAATTTATCTAACAAATTTTTGTAAAATTAAGTGACCATATGGTGCGCGCTACTCATAAGTAGTATATGACGTGAGTGTAAACGTTATGTCTGGCAGCAGAAGATGGGGGAGAAGATCAAGAAAGGAAGAAGAGTTAGAACACAATGGAATTCGCGTATGAAACGCATGAACAGTGAGTGAAATGTCAGACAATGGATTGATGATGGATTGAAGATTTGCAAATTAACGTTGTTTACGATATGGTTTTCCTATTTTACTGAGTAACTCTGTAATTTTCGGGTAAATACAATTCGGTTGTCCTCACCTGTGTTCTGCTTCACTGCAACTAGATTCGATTTCTTTTTTTCGAAATATTCCATTTATGGAAAATATAAACTTTCTGCAAATTTATGCAAATCAAATAGTTATTTTTTGACTTTTTTAAACAAGCCTTATTACTTTTTTACGCCCTGCCCCATTTTATATGCATACTTCAATCATTCTTCTTCATTCAAGGTCATTGAGTTGGAAAGAATAAATCCTACTCAACATGAAAAATTGAGTTTTTTTTTCCTTGAATTCGGATTAAGCACTACTTTATCACGAATAAGCAGAAACAGAAGGATACACAATTTTTAGAGAATGAATAACTAGTGCCTAACTCAAATAGGTTATAATTCTTAATTAATAGATTTGACATATATATTTGAGATCATCAATCAATCATTGTTAGACTACCACAATTAGAAACGTGAGAGCACCGGAAGACAGCCGTTTCGTCCTGGTATGGGACTCATCAGAAACACTGTGCATCCATGACTCCTGCATCTCGTAGGATTTGAACTCGGGACGTTCGGTCTTGTGCGCGAACGCCTAACCTCCAGAGATTAGGCGTTCGTGGATGAGCACTGCTGATGAGTCCCATACAAGGACGAAACGACTGTCCAGCGTTTATAGGTTTCTAATGGTGGTCTAACAATGATTGTTTGATGATTTTAAATGTGTAAAAACAGAAATCTCCATAATTCTAATTAAAAATAATAGATTTGATGTAAAAGATAGTTGACTTTATTACCAAACATGTATCACTGTTTCAACATGACAAATGATATTTAGAATAGCTGTGAAAATAGTTTTTGCGTGAATGCAGGAATAAGATTCTACGAGTTGATGAAACTATTAGTTCGTGAAAGAAAGAGTTTGACTAGTTGACTAGTTTGGTTATCAGGAGAAAATTGATAACTAGGACATATTAGATAGTTGTTTGGTTCCAGTATACTTGTGGTGCGCGCTACTTATAAGTAGTATATGACGCGAGTGTAAACGTAATGTCTGGCAGCAGAAGATGAGGGAAGATCAAGAGAAAGAAAGAAGAGTGTGAACACAATGGAATTTGTATGAAACGCATGAATAGTGAGTGAAATGTCAGACAATGGATTGATGATGGATTGAAGATTTGCAAATTAACTGTTTACGATATGGTTTTCCTATTTTACTGAGTAACTCTGTAATTTGTGATAAATACAATTGGGTTGCCCTCACCTGTGTTCTCCTTCA